TTTACAAATGATATTGTTGTGTAAATATTTTATAATCGTTATTTGTTATCACGGAGAACGTGAACCGCTTATTCTTGTACTTCTTGTACAGTCTACAGTCAATACCACGGTTCACGATTAAGGRTGGTCAATATTCAATAGTAATGTAAATTTTGTATAGTCGTATTTGTTTTATTATTTTATTGTTGTTCTTATACTGAGTTATACCATTTATTTAATTTTATATTTACGATGTTTTTCACTAGCCCACCGCTACTCTACCTTTTGATTTTATGAAAACGATCTGTAATCACGGCTTTCTTCTTGTAGGTATAAACTTGTATAAAAAAAATCATCACCTGTAAATCGCCATACACCTAGCAAAAAATGGAACCTTTAATGCCATCTGAAGTCGCTCGTTTAGTGTACGGTGAGTATTAGRTTTTTATATCTCTAGTATTTCTATATAGGTTTTTATTAAATGCATATGACCATCAATATTGATGGATTTGCAAACTGTTAGTTGTATAATATGTTCATGTAACAATATACAAAAAACTACTGTTTTGAATCTGTCATAAATTAAACTCTGTGCATCCAAATATCTAGTTGAATATTTTAAGCTAATCACTAAATCTTCTAGTCATATTGGGCTGTGTTTAAAATTTTAATTACTTTATATTTTTTAAGTAATGTGTATATGTACCTAACAACTTTATAAATCTTGATGCTAGTGTGTGTAGGTCTAAAGATTTTTATATTAATGAATCATTTATCAATTCAGGTTATCTTAAGAAAGAAAAAAACGAAGAAGCTGCAGAATGCTTTTTAAAAACATCACCTCATTTGACTGAATGTTTTCAGATGTTTAAAGCTAATAGAAACTTTAATATTAAAGTGAATGGGTTTAATTTACATGACATATTCGATAATTTTGGAACCATGTGTACCATGAGTAAGTCATACAAATTATTTGTATTTCATCATTTAAAGATGTATAATTTATATAAATTATAAATTCAAAAAATATCTTGAATATTCTTAATGTATTGATTTTAGTTGCAGAGCGAATACCTGAAACATGTGAATCTAAAACATTACTTGAGAAACTACAGTATTTGTTAGATACAAACCATGCATCAATGAAAGAAGATCCATTTGTTGAGAAAAAACTAAATATGGTTGATAAATGTGTTGGTAATACAGTTATTACTAAAGATCAGAGTACACATACAACAATAAAAATAGAAGCAAATAAAAGTTTATCGGAAGAAGCATTAGAAATCTCATCGTTCACTGAGATAATTTCTAATAATGTTTCTAAAACAAAAGAAACTGACAYATTTTGTGATGAAACCACAATTATTGACGAAAAAAATACCGTTTCTTCGCCCTGTTTATCTTCAATGACACAACAATTAGAAAATAATATAGGTACAATGACATTTTCCAAATTTGAAGAAAAAGAATCAAACATATTTCAAATAAACAATCAAATTTCTAGTACTCCAGCAAAGAAAAATGAATTAACTAAAATAAATATTGATTCAATACCAAAATTTAGCCCAAAAAATATTCACAATCTAAATTCTGGGTATGTATCAATATTATAAATAACTACGGCCCAGATTTATATYCTCTAAAAACCTCATAAATATACCCAATAAATTAAAAATATGCAAAAACAAATTGATCAAAAATGTCTTTTATTTTCATTATTTTTTATAT